GGGAGGCCGCCGAGTGGCGCGGACGGTGCGCACGGAGGGGCCCCGAGCTCGGCCGGGCCCGGGAGCGGAATCCACGCGCGGCGGCCAGCGGAGGCCAAGGCGGCGGCGGTGGAGCCGGGCGGGGCTGGGGGCGCGAGCAGGCACCGCGCCAGCCGCCCTCTGCCCGGATTAAGCGGGGCCGGGGTCTCGGGTCTCAGGGCTCCGAGGGGGTGCCGGCCGCGGACCCGACGCCCCGCAGGCATCCATCGCCACTGGGGGCGAGTAGATTTATCTCTCGGGAGAATCTTCCCAACATTTCCCTGAGTCCCCAGCAGGTCCTCTGCCCCGGCGGCCTGTGCCCCACGCCCCACTAGCTCCCTTGCGACGCAGCAGGCAGGTCGCCTCCGGGCCTTTGCACAGGTTGGCCCCGCGGTAGGACCGTGAACTGGTCCTGGATTCCCCCAGGCACAGGACTGTGCCTTCACCCACCGCAGGCGGCTTCTGCCGAGCACCCTGAGCTGCCTGGGGCTGAGGACGGATCCCTCCTCCCAGGACCCTCGCTCAGCCCGGAGCACAGCCTGAGCCTGCACAGCCGGCAGGTACAGCGCCGGTCCCACGCAGTCACCGCCAGGCGGCGCGTCGCAGCCGCTCGGGCCCACCTCCTGCTGCAGACCCTGGTCCCTCGGAGCGCCATCAGCATCACCTCCGTGTGCCCCTGGCCCCAAACAGCGGCTCGGACACGTAGCCCAGCCCCGGGCGACTCGTGTGCTGATAAATTGCTTAGGTCGCTAAGCCAGCAAAGCCCACCAGCAGCGAGCAGAGCCCGGGCTTCTGTGCAGCATTTGATGAAGGGGCTTCCGGCCGCCTAAAGCGGAAAGGGGGGCGGGCTTGGAATGCACGCATCCAAGAGCTTGTCTGGAAAGCTCACCCTGACCTAGAGGGACAGCATGCGCCCACCCACCCACACCCACGGACACAGTTGAGACCCCCTCGCACCGCATTATCTCATCACCTCTGAACTGGAGGCCACATCCCCCCCAGGGAAGGTAGACCACCAGGGCGCTTTCAACTTGCTTCTGGCCTTGTGTGCTCGTCCTAATTTGCCTAATTTCCTCCTGGCCTGGCATGGTTTCTGGTAGATCCGGGCATATGCTAATTTACATAGCTGGCGTCCCCCTACTTCCCTCCATGCAAAGCAGCTTTCAATTAGCAAGTTTAGCTTTCTCTTTGATGCAAAAGTACTGGCAAGATTTTGGGTTTTTTCTCACCTAAAATCAGAAAGCTCTGCAGATTAGAGTCTGTTACTATTCAGTTTAAGCCCTTAATTCATGTGCATCTATTTGTCTGTGCATACACACGTGATCTTGAGGCCACAGCCAGACTAGGCTTTTCGGGGCGGGCGTCTTTAGGCAGGCTAACGTGGACCTCTTAAAGGGTCCTGCTTGAACAGGAGTCTTCGTCCCTTCTTCCTCACCGGGGGACTGGAGACCGAGGACCACTCGTGGCAATGTCCAGCTCGTTTGCTTCTGCGTGAACACAGGGCTGCGCGCACTGACCCCCCGCCCCTGGGAAGGCAGGGTCGAGCCAGCATCCCAGGCGCTTCGGCAAGCACTTGGGGAGGACTCTCGCCCCACTCCTACACAGCACTGTCCTTGGAGCGGTTCTACCGAAGCAGCTTTTGTCACCTACTGATATGTATTCCCTCCCCGGGGATTCCAGTGCCCTGAGTGCAGGTGCCTTGGGCAACCACTTGGCTCTGAATGACAGCTAGAAAATCCCAAGTAACTGTTCACTCACATAAGCTCAGAGTAGTCCAAACTCTTTTGTCGTTTCCTGCCATGGGCTTAGCTGTACCCGGTTATTACAACGCTTTGAATTCTTTCCTGTACCGTGCTCGATTCTGGCGACAGCGCAGATGCAGAGTGGTTTCCACTAATGCGTTAACGGATATGATGGGGGACCCGGGAGACGGGCTTATCTCCCACTTCTGGCTCTTGTCCCACTCAGCCTCATCCCAGGGTCTCCCCCCTACACCCCACTCAGCCCGGGAACAACCCTGAACGCTCCGAGATAGTAGAAGCTCTCCTCATAGACACTCTAATCCCAGCGGGATTTAAAGGACTCTCTTCCAGCAGGAAGCCCTGTTCTCCTTGAGGACCAGAAATCAAGGACCCGCCCATCCGCAGGTGGAGGCTCTGTGCCAGATAGATACTGTACTACTGGTAAGCAGGTCTGCTTGCCCGGCAGTGCCCCTGGGGGGGGGGGGTCGCCCTGGGCGGGGCACATGGCTGGCACCCCACAAATTCAGGTCGGTTGTCTCAGTGAGACATTTTCTTTATAAAGACTTTTATACACAACTAGTGTCAAGGTCTCCTAACCAATAAAAACAGCCCTAAGTCCACCTGTGTGATTCAGGGAAAACCAGCAGAAATTTCTAGCTGAGACCGACAGGGAAGAGGAG